AGTGCAGAAACGTTACTGGGGAGCCTGAACCACCTCCCCCTCGGCCCTCAGGCACCTCACCTCCTCTTCTAGCAGGGTCACCATCTTGCAACGAGGGCAAGTGAATCCCTGCCTCTCCAGGGAGAGAAGGGCGAACATGTCGCAGTTGTCGCAGTGGACAGCAACACCCGTGACTCCCGCCAAGGCCATCTCCTGGTCTGCCATCGGTATCCCTTCCGAGACTTTACCTTGGTCCCCTGCCTTATTAGTCCTGCAGTTCCTCTCACTCGCCCAGACAAAAACTGACTCGCACACACACACACAAGGATAAAATAAACTTAAATTTTAATTGGAAGAAAAACAAAGCACAGCACAGCACAGCACAAACAAAACAAACAATCAAACCTCTGTGTCTCAGGGAAGGGAGTCTCCGGACAGCCCGGGCCGCAGCCAAGGGACAACGCCCCGTCCCTCTGCTTCCTCCTGGCTCCTCTAGCCTCTCTGGCCCCGCCCCCTTCCTCTCTGCTGCTCCTCTGCTCCCCTGCCCAGCTCCTACCTAGCCTTCGCCGGTCCCCTGGTCACTCAGCACTCTCTCCCAGCCTGTGCCTCTGCTGCTCTGCCACTCTGCCAAGAGGCCAGAGCCAAAAGGGCTTGCAGTGGCTGAGTGCGGCCTTATCAGTCCCTCAGGCCGGTGGCCCCGCCTGTCCGCTTCCTCCTGGCTGCTCCAGCCTCTCTGGCCCTGCCCCCTTCCTCTCTGCTGCTCCTGGCCCTCTGCTCTCCTGCCCAGCTCCTACCTAGCCTTCGCCAGTCCCCTGGCCACTCAGCACTCTCTCCCAGCCTGTGCCTCTGCTGCTCTGCCAAGAGGCCAGAGCCAAAAAGCATTAAACTGTTAAAAGTGTATGACTTTTACCATAGCTTTTATTTTGGTTTTCTATGTTTTTCTTTTGAATGCTTGACACTACTCAGGATGAAGCAGAACTGAGGGAATAGTTGGCTGCTCCACTGGGAAATCAGACCCTACTACAGAGCCCTTCTGTTTTTCATTCTCCTGCTCCCAGAATACTGCAGGATTACAGTAGTCAGAACAACCAAATAATGATTCTTTAGCTGACTGATGTCTGACAGATACTGCTCAGAGTACAAAACAAAGACTTTTACATGAAAGAGAGACAAGGGAATGGGTGCATTCGGAGCCATAACCATGTTGAGATTGTGGGGAACATAACCCTGCAGTGAGAAGACTTCTCGTCTTCCCTAAATTTTTCTTAAGGAAAAAAGAAGTATAACATGACCCTAACATCACTACTAATTGATCAACAAGATATACTTAATATACTTTTGTGGTTTCCAGCAGCCCCTAGCCGGATCACACTGGGATGTCTCTCAATGACTTCACCATTTTTATTCATTTAATTTTATTAAGCTTCACATTGGGCAGGGCTGCAAATCAACAGAGGCATGGGAGACTGATTATTTGCAGAAGAACTCACAGTGCACTCCACAGATGCTTGTGGCAAGTTGGTTGAGAAATCAATTTTGGAATAGTCTTAGTAAACTTTTCTGGTTTCCAACAGTATCTGCTAAACTGGGCAGCTGACATGGAAGAATTTCTTGACTGTTGTCCTCATTTGTTTTGGAGCATTGTGGCTAAACAAAGTCTAGAACATGCAAAGGGTTCTCAGGGTAACTTCTTTACAAAGAAAGCCTACCAGATTTAGACAATATGACAGCCCACCATGGCTGTTTCCTGGGGGTGGGTTGCCATTTTGTGGGAACCACATTCACTGACTTACACTGGTCACATTTCTAGTCAAGGGCATGATATATGGCCAGAAATTATTATCAGCATAGTCACAAAAGAGTAGTTCTTATGGTTCTTTGGGGAAGCCAGTTTTACCATTAATGTGGGGCTGAAACTTTTGTAATAATGAATGGATGTTAATTAAGAATGAAATATAAGGCAAAATTGAAAGTAGTTTTCAGCATATGAAACACAATCATTTGGGTTCCTAAAACGTATTTGCATCTCAAAAGTTATCTTTGTTCTTTTTTCTAAATTTAAACTATTAGCCTGGTGCCCTGCAGATGTTTTGGCATGTCCAAGGATTAAAGCTAGTACTTTATGCAAGCAAAGCATATGCTCTTCTACCAGCTATGGCCCTTCCCTAAAACTCAGCATGCTCTAACACAAACCAGAATAACAGTCAAGATTTTTTTTCCAAATCATCTGCTCAGTTTGCCAGCGGCTGCTGGAAACCACAAAAGTATATTAAGCATATACCAAAATTATTTCCTCAACCATCTTTCCCCACATGCCTCACTTCATGCCCTCCTCCATAGACCCTAATACAGATCATTCCCGCTAGCAGTGAGGAAAAAGGAATCTGGAAAAGGATTGTTGGGGCAGGGGGGAAAGCTCTGTGCATGCATATGGACATGCCTATGCAACTCACAAGCCTGCTGCACGTGTGGCCCTCAGGTCCCAACCAGATGAGTTACAACATTCAGTACATCCAAGCTTTCTTCTACACTGTTCTCTCTTAACATTCCAATATCAACTAGAAACAGGAACATCATAGTAGTAGCGTCACCATTACTTTCTAGAAAGTTTAAAGAAACTTTGCCCATTGTGCAGAATGCTGGATTCAGTTGCTTTAAGCATTTGCAGTTACCAATAGTTTTACCAACATGGCTTAGAGTCAAAGAGTCTGATCTGTTATCAAGTAACTGAACAAAATCTTTGGATCCATGAATTGTAGTTATTGCTTTGGTTGCTCAAGTTGTAGACTTGTCTGCCTAAGAATTAGAAAGAGGCAAAGATCACACTACTACTGACCTGGTTCACACACTGTGGTAAGCCAGAGTGGATTGGTATCATGAATGGTTGCTTCATGAGACCCAAATACAGAGTCATTTTTGTCAGACTTGATCCCAGTTCTGTTATTGTAGGTTGTCAGGACTGGTTAGAGAGCCTTCTGGCAAGAGCAGCAAAAACCTCTAGCATAACTCCGCATAATCTTCCCATTAGTGCCATCAATCTATTTATCCCTGCCTCAGGATAATTTTTTTCATACAAATCCTGAAGATTTGTATGAAACACAATATAGGACTATTGCCTGCATGACCATCTTATTTTGAGTTCAGCTTTAATTCCATAACATGGACAATTATGACTAAGTATGAAAATTATTTTCCTATGAGCCATGCCATTCAGTCCAGAATTCCTGGTTTGCAGAGTCCTCCTTGTGAAAAACAGCAGTTCACAGGTTCCCATAAGCAAGACATAAGTGCACCAGCATCCAACTACTGTACTGGAGATAGCATATGGACATGAGGGCTAGTAGCCATTGATAGTTCTATCCTCCATGAATTTGTCCAATCCCTTTTTAAATACATCCAAACTGGTGGCCACCTCTGTATTTCATAGGTCATAGTTTATGCATTATGTGAAACAGTAGTTCATTTTATCTGTCCTGAACATCCCATGAAGCAGCCACAATGGATGAGCAGTTTCTCCACATCATACATAATTCTGTATGACTCTGTGATGACCCCACTTTTTCTCCCAAATATGGTATCCTTTCCTCATAAAGGCATTGCTCCTGCCCCTTAATCATTTTAGTTACCCTTTTCCCAACTCTATATCCCTTTTCAGGTGCAGTGACCAGAACTGTGTGGTGACACCACAGATTTGCATAAGTAGTATATTCTACTATTAGTTCTATTTTCAATTCCTTTCCTGAATAAACCTATCATGGAGTTTGTCTTTTTTCACAGCCACCACACACTGAGTTGACATCTTCACCAAGCTATCCACCACAACCTCCAGATCTCTTTTTTTAACCAGTCACTATTAACACAGATTCTATCAATTTATACTTGAAATAGGAAACGTTGCCCCAGTTTGCATCACTTTAAACTTGCTTACACTGGATGCTTTTGCCATTTTTCCAGTTTAGAAAGAACTTTCTGGAGCTCTTCACAGTCCTTTTCTGTTTTAACCAACCTTAATAATTTGGTGTCATTGGCATGCTTCATTGATCACTGCTAATTCTGGATCCTCACCAATCTCCAGAGTAAAACTGAGGCATGCTTCATCCTTACATCCAAATTATTACAGCCTGATTGGAAGGTAGTAAACTAGAGCAGCCTTCTCCAAACTTGCTTTCTCCAGATGTTTTGAACAACAACTCCCAGCATTTCTGACAACTGGCCATGCTGTCTGGGGCTGGCAAGGATCAAAGTCCAACACATCTGGAGGACACCAAATTGGAGAAGGTAGAACAAGACATTCGAAGTACAACTAATTCCGTGAAATCTCTTCAGTAGGAGAGAAATGGCTGCTACAATCACAGCTATTCAAACTTCCACCCCACCCTGCCCACCCCAAGTGTAATAGATCATGAACAGAGCACTGAATAGTGAATTCTAGTAGAGACACAAATGGCAGAAGCCTCCCTTAGGGATATGGAAGGAACCCTTGGTCTCACAAGAGCCGTTCATTATTTAATTCTTATGTGATTGAGCAGCAAGCCACTGGCACACCCATCAGCACGCTCCCCTCCATCCCCAAGCCTGTCACACCCCCTTCATCCAGCAGTAATGTTTGGGAAAACCTGGCCCCAAAACAAAGCTGCGCTCGCTTGACACATTTCGAAGGAAGCGGGACATGGGGGAGCTCGCTATCATTACGGCCAGAATCTACGACAACCTCACGTGAGCTAACGCCTGCCATACGTTTGGGACCACAGCTCCCTTCAGCTCCGCTTGGAAGATCAGGGGTAAGTAACCCGGTGGCCTCCAGAAGTGCTGAACTATAGCTCCCATGATCCCTGAGCACTGCCCATGCTGTCTGGGGCTGATGGGTATGGTAACCCCACACACATACACACACGCGTACAGAGAGCACCCGATTAGGGGAGGCTAATGGCGAGCTGCAGCGCGGGGCTTCGCCTCCCGAAGCCGCCTCTCCCTCCTTCCCGCCCGCCTCCCTGAGGCCCAGGCTGCGGCGCCTCGCTCACCCGCGCCTCGCTGCGTCCGCGGCGCCGCTCCCTCAGGCGCGACGGAAACCGGACCAGGCCTCGAGGCCGCGGCCCCCGCACGACAACAAGAAGGCGCCCAGGTCCCCTTCCCTGCCTCGCCGGTGGAGGGGGCAGGAGAAGGGGGTGCGCCCCCCAACGCTAACGACTCCCCACCGACGGCCCGGAAGCGGAAGGAGCTTCCAGAGGGAGGAGAGGCGGAAAACCCCGTGATGTTTGCCCGCCCCATCTCTTCCCCGCCCCACCCCGCGCCCGACAATGGGCAGCAAGCGATACGCTGGAGGCAGAAATCAGAAGATAAGGGAATGTAGGAATTAACTTTGGCCTGAGGAAGTCGATAAGCGCGCGCCTATTTCGTCCTGCTCTGATCGGCCTTCTCGCCTTTTTGGACTACAGCTCCCAACATGCCTGACCATTAGCCTGACACTGACGTCCACAATATTTCAAGGGCATCTGAGTGGGGAGGACTAAGTCCAAAAATCTGGAACTCAGGGCCACAGCAGAGCAGAGCGCGCAGATTTGTATATCATAATTTACTTGTGCTCTTAAGGCTGCGTGTGCCCTTCTCCTAAAGATTGTTGTTAGTCGCGAAGTCGTGTCCGACCCACCTCCAGGCCTTCCTGTCCTCCACCATCCCCTGGAGTCCACTTAAGCTCACACCAACTGTTTCAGTGACACCATCTAGCCACCTCATCCTCTGCCATCCCCTTCTTCTTTTGCCCTCAATTGTTCCCAGCATTAGGCTCTTCTCCAGAGAGTCCTTCCTTCTCATTAGGTGGCCAAAGTATTTGAGTTTCATCTTCACTATCTGGCCTTCCAAAGAGCAGTCAGGGTTGATCTCCTCTAGGACTGACCGGTTTGATCGCCTTGCGGTCCAAGGGACTTGCAGGAGTCTCCTCCAGCTCCACAATTCAAAGGCCTTAATCCTTTTGCACTCAGCCTTCCTTATGGTCCAGCTTTCACAGCCATACATTGCAACTGGGAAAACCATAGCCTTGACTATTCGCACTTTTGTTGGCAGGGTGATGTCTCTGCTTTTTAGTATGCTGTCTAGATTTGCCATAGCTTTCCTCCCAAGGAGCAAGCGTCTTTTAATTTCTTGACTGCAGTTCCTGTCTGCGGTGATCTTGGAGCCCAGGAAAATAAAATCTGTTACTACCTCCATTTCTTCCCCATCTATTTGCCAGGAAGTGAGAGGACCGGATGCCATGATCTTAGTGTTCCTAATGTTGAGTTCCAAGCCAACTTTTGCGCTCTCCTTCACCCGCATCAAGAGGCTCTTTAGTTCCTCTTCACTTTCTGCCATGAGAGTGGTATCATCTGCATATCTGAGGTTGTTGATATTTCTCCCAGCAATCTTAATTCCAACTGGTGATTCATCTAGCCCCGCCTTTCTCATGATGTGCTCTGCATACAAGTTAAATAGGCAGGGCGACAGTATACAGCCTTGCTGAACTTCTGTCTCAATTTTGAACCAATCAGTGGTTCCGTGTCCAGTTCTCACTGTTGCTTCTTGACCCACATATAGGTTTTTCAAGAGACAAATAAGATGGTCTGGTACTCCCATCTCTTTAAGAACTTGTCACAATTTGTTGTGATCCACACAATCAAAGGCTTTAGCATAGTCCATGAAGCAGAAGTAGATGTTTTTCTGGAACTCCCTGGCTTTCTCCATGATCCAGCATATGTTGGTAATTTGATCTCTAGTTCCTCTTCCTCTTCGAAATCCTGCCTGTACTTCTGGTAGTTCTCGGTCCACATACTGCTGGAGCCTAGCTTGTAGGATTTTGAGCATAACTTTGCTAGCATGTGAAATGAGTGCAATGGTGTGGTAGTTTGAACATTCTTTGGCATTGCCCTTCTTTGGGATGGGAATGTAAACTGACCTTTTCCAATCCTGTGGCCACTGTTGAGTTTTCCAAATTTGCTGGCATATTGAGTGTAGCACTTTTACTGCATCATCTTGTAAGATTTTGAATAGCTCAGCTGCAATACTGCCGCCTCCACTGGCTTTGTTGTTGCTCAGACTTCCTAAGGCCCAGTTGACTTCACATTCCAGGATGTCTGGCTCGAGGTCAGTGACCACCCCATCATGGTTATCAGGGACGTTAATCTCTTTCTTCTGTGTAATCTTGCCACCTCTTCTTAATCTCTTCTGCCTCTGTTGGGCCCCTGCCATTTTGGTCCTTTATCATGCCCATCTTTGCATGAAATGTTCCCTTCATATCTCCAAATTTCTTGAAGAGATCTTTGGTCTTCCCTATTCTGTTGTTTTCTTCTATGTCTTTGCACTGTTCATTTAAGAATGCATTCTTATCTCTTCTAGCTATTCTCTGGAATTCTGCATTCAATTGGGTGTATCTTTCTCTTTCTCCCTTGCCTTTCGCTCTTCCCTTCTTTCCTCAGCTATTTGTAAAGCTTCCTCAGACAGCCATTTTGCTTTCTTGCATTTCTTTTTTTTGGGGATGGTTTTAGTTGCTGCCTCTTACACAATATTGCGAACCTCCATCCATAGTTCTTCAGGCACTCTGTCAGATCTAATTCCTTAAATCTATTTGTCACCTCTACTGTATATTCATCAGGGATATGTTTTAGGTCATACCTGAATGGCCTAGTGCTTTTCCCTACTTTCTTCAATTTAAGCCTCAATTTTGCAACGAGAAGCTCATGATCTGAGCCACAGTCAGCTCCTGGTCTAGTTTTTACTGACTGTATAGAGCTTCTGCATCTTTGGCTGCAGAGCAAATAGTCAATCTGATTTCTGTGTTGACCGTCTGGTGATGTCCATGTGTGGAGTCATCTCTTGGGTTGTTGGAAAAGAGTGTTTGCTATGACCATCATATTCTCTTGACAAAATTCTGCCAGCCTGTGCCCTACTTCATTTTGTACTTCAAGTCCAAACTTGCCTGTTATTCCAGGTATCTTTTGGCTTCCTACTTTAGCATTCCAATCCCCCATGATGATAAGGACATCATTTTTGGGTGTTAACTCTAGAAGGTGTTGTAGGCCCTCATAGAACTGGTCAACTTCAGCCTCTTCAGCACCAGTGGTTGGGGCATAGACTTGGACTGTTGAGATGTTGAATGGTTTGCCTTGCAATCGAACAGGGATCATTCTGTCATTTTGGAGATTGTATCCCAGTACTGCTTTTCCTACTCTTTTATTGACTATGAAGGCTACTCCATTTCTTCTGAGGGATTCTTGCCCGCAGTAGTATACCTGATGGTCATCTGAATTAAATTCACCCATCCTGTCCATTTTAGTTCACTGATTCCTAAGATGTCGATGTTCAGTCTTGTCATCTCTTGTTTGACCACATCCAGCTTGCCTTGATTCATGGATCTTACGTTCCAGGTTCCTATGGAGTATAGATCCTATACCACTTTGTAAAAAGGGATGTATGGACGGGGAGAGAAGGATGTTTGAATTCAGGAAAAAATATCAGCAGAAAGATTCAAGGGGAGGGGGTGCAGCAGAGAATGCAAAAGTGGGCAAACTGCCAGCAATCCAGACAGTCAGCTTCAGCAGGCCCCTTTATCTTTATTTGCAGAAAATTACATGGACAGCAAGGTGAGCAGGGCCGTCATGGACAGGACATCTTGGAGGGCTTTCATCCATAGGGTTGCCATAAGTCAGACACGATTTGACAGCACATAGCAACAACAGACTCCCAGAATTCAGGACTAGAGCGTCTCCTAACACCGCCTCTGAACTGAGAAGGTTTCTGATAAGGGTAGCCACCGTAAGCATAAAGAGGCCTTTTTGGTCAGGCAAGCAAAAACATGGAGCCTACGAAATTGGAAAGACTAACAGCAAAAATACGGGGGCTGGAAGCGGCACTCCAGCACCCTCTGGAAAAGTGCGCCAAAAGAAAAGGCTCTGACAACGCAGTCCTATACATTACATTATACCATTACTTAAGAAGTAGAAACATAGAACATAGAAACAGAGCGAGTCAGAAGGGGCCTCCCGGGCCATCTAGTCTGACCTCCGACACCAGCCAGCTCCGCTCACATGCCCACCATGTGGACATCCAGCCTATCCTTGAACACTCACACCGACGGGGCCTCAACCACCTCCCGGGGAAGCCCATTCCACACCCTCGGGGTCCTGACTGTCAGGAAGTGCTTCCTGGCATCCAAATGGAACCTTGGCTCCCTGAGCTTTGCTCTATTGGAGCGCGTCCTGCCTTCCTCTGCAGGGGAGAACAGGTCTCTACCCATCTCCATGTGACATCCCCTCACATACCTGTATGTCGCCAACATATCCCCTCTGAGTCTCCTCCAGGCTGAAGAGACCCAGTTCCCTCAGTCTCACCTCATATGGCATCCCCTGCAAACCGGCCACCAACCTTGTGGCCCTACGCTGCACAGATTCCAACCTGGCTATATCCTTTCTGTAATGAGGGGCCCAAAACTGAACGCAATACTCCAGTTGCAGGCGCACCAGAGTTGCGTAGAGTGGTAGGAATACCTCTCTTGCTCTAGAAGCCACACTTCTGGCTATGCAACCAAGAGTGGCGTTAGCCCTCTTGACCACCGCATCACACTGCTGACTCATGTTTAGCCTGCAGTAAACTCCATTGAGTTCAGTGGGACTTGCTGCCGGAAAGGAAGTTTAGGAATGCAGCTTTTTTATTAATGCTTTGCCACTACGAGTTCAGAAATGTACTGATATCTGCATGCCAGTGAACAGTAGCTCCAACTTCTGCATGCACTTTGGTGCAGTCTTGCCATGCGTTGAATGCCTTACAGGATTTTCTCCTTAAGAAACCGAAAGGGGCAGGTGCGGATCCAATTTCCCATGATGCTGGGAGATCAGTGCTTGAGGTGTGATGTGGGTTGTTTTATTCCCAAACACACTTGTAGCCCTCCAGTTATTATAGGTTTACAGCTCCAAAAGTTGGAGAGAAACAAGTTGCAACATTTAATTCAGGGGACCTTTGATCCAAAGGTGTGGGGATTAATCACTTCCTAGCAGAAGTGTTTTGGATATGTGAAGTTGAGGTAAGGTTGAGATTCTGTACAAACCCTCTTCGCCTACTATTTATACTGAATACCTCATAAATTTCTGTAGGCATTTTATAATAATACAAATATGAAGAAAATCAAAGTAAAACCAACAATATAAAACTTTTTTTAATTAATAAACCCACTTGCCATATCATACATGTAGTTTGAGCCTGCTTCTTTCTATTGACAGGATCATTAAATAAGAGGACAGGATCATTAAATAATAAAAAAGGGCCAAGAAAGCCATCTGGCCCATCTCCCTGCTGTTGCAGGTCACCATCCCACTCAAATGACTGTCCAATTTCACCTTCAATGTCTCTAGTTTGGGGAAAACCACAACCTCTCTTGGAAACTGGCTCCATTGTCATATTGCTCTGACAGTGAGGAAACTTTTCCTATCTAGCCTGAATCTGGATTGTCAAACTTGAGTTAATTATTCTGTGTCCCACACTCTGGTATCAGTGAGATCTTGACCTTCCCCTTTGTGACAACCTTTGAGGTAATTAAAGAGTGATATGTTCCCCACCTTTCTCTTTTCAAGGCCAAACATAGCCAGTTCTCTTGGTCTCTCCTCATGAAGCAGTGTTTCTAAACCCTGGATCATTTTTGTTGCCCTTCGCTGAACCCTTTCTAAATTTTTGCATCTTTCTTAAAGCTTGGTGCCCAGAACCGTACACAGCATTCCAGATGAGGTCTGACTGGTGAGTATAGGGGAACTACTACTTCTCATGATTTGGAAGTAATACTTCTATTAATGCATCCTGAAATAGCATTTGCCCTTTTTGTGGCTCCATCACATTGTTGCCTCATATTTAGCTTGTTGTTGTCCACAGTAACTCGGTTTTTCTTTTTCAGTTCTGTTGAACCATATATTTCCCACCGTGTATTGATGCATTTGTTTTTTCCTAGGTGCACTTGGTACCCCACTAGTTACCTTCCTCCAGTTTGAGAAGACACCATTGATGAGCACTCTTTGTTCCAGATTTGGCAGCTAATTTTGGATCCGTTTGGTTTTTTTTAATCTCGTCCACTTTTTGCTAATTCACTTATCAGGACATTGTGGGGTACTATGTAAAAGCTCTGCTACAGTCAAGGTAGATTACATCCACAGAGCTCCCTCTGCCCATTTGAGAGATTACCCAGTCAAAAAATTAGTCTTGACAGGATTTTTTTTTGATAAATCCATGTTGGCTTTTATTACTCCATTTTGTTTGAGGTGCTTGAAGACTGATTTCTTAATAATTTGCTCCAGAATTTTTCCAGGGATTGATGTCAGACTAACTGGTCTGCAGTTAGCAGGTTTATCTTTTTTCCCTTTTGAAGATGCAGGCAACATTAGGCCTTTCTCCAGTCATTTGTCATGTTTCCTTAGTTATAGAAGCTTCTCTATCTTGGCCCCAACTCAGACCTGCATAGTATAGCAACACTAAAAAAGTTGGTTTCTGCCTTAATTCCTATGAGGAACAGTCACTCTTGCTGTTCCACATAGAAAAAAAATGTCAACAGGAAGTCCCACCATCAGACAAAATGGAATAGGTGGTATATTCCTATTGAGTTTGTAGTATGCTTTTAGAGATGAGAGTGGAAAGCTGCAGGTTTAAAACTATTTCAGACCTGACAAATATCACCAGTGTCACAAAATCTTACTATGCAGGGAATGGAGTAAATGTGAAAGGATGCAGGGAAGAGGGATTCAGTGTAAAATTATTTCCATGAAGAACTACTCTTATGAGAGTACAAGAAAGTTGGGCAACCTGCAGAAACTTATCCACTTGTATGGTACATTTAATTCAGTGGAATTTACTTCCAGCATTTGTTACCAGAGGCAACGGCCTCAGTCTGCCTAATGGTACCAGTAATATATATCCCACTGTTTTACAGCAACAGCATCCTATCTGTTCCTGAGACACACATCCCACACCCTCCCCTCCCTCCCTCATTTTCAAATCTTTCCTAAAGGTGCTACATGAAGCCATGTGGTAATCCACTTATCCCTGCTGTAGGCATGAACTGGACAAAGGGTTAAACCTGTCAGCAAATCTGGAACAGAAAACTTGAGCAGTCTCTTTCCACCCAGGAAATGTTTACATACAGGTCACATGGGAAATAAGGTTCTCCCAGACAAACTTCCCTGGAAATATGCCACACTTCCGTAATCAGGATGTGCTTTCCAAAGTAACATTGGAAGTCTATTTACATACCAGTGGGCTAACATTGTTTGAAATACCCACTAAAATCTGTGTACACAAACCAGTAAAGTAACAGCTCGCCTTTTTAAAAAATAACTTATCAATTTAGCAAAAGAAATACTAGAAAATGTACAACTATCATAGTGGTTCCAGTACTGTGCTACTAAAGCACAATACTGCAGAGGCCTTATTGTTGAAGATTTAATGTATTTCTTATCTCCATTTCTCTGTTTCTCAGACATACACCAAGAGTTCTCTAAAATGTGCCATCAAGCTTCATTCTGCTTTTTCACCACTCAGAGGAGATACATGAAGCCCAGCCCTGACTCCATTAATGAATACAAGGAAGTTGCAGGAGAATCTGCATGTTGCTCTAACTTCTCCCATTTTCTTCATTTTGACAATACATCATTGCCGTTCTCCGTCACATCTTACCAATGAATTTTTCAAACTATGTTCATGTGATGTGACTGCAGGGCATGGTAGAAGAGTCATAACAGTCAGTAGAAAATGTTTTCTGGTTTCTTGTGGCAAGACTGAAGAAGTAAGGTCAGCAACCCGACACTATAAATATGCTCAATAGGGCTTACTGTTATGCATGCAAAAGACTGAAGGATCCATGTAAGTTGGTAGAAAAAGGAAAGCAGAAGGCATTGCAGACATACTTTTACCTCCTGGCTTCACACACAGAGAGAGCACACAAATGCCCTCTTCAAATTTAACCATGACAAGAAATAACAAAGGCAACAAAATATGGAATGAATATGTACCTCATTAGGAATTGATAATGGGTGTCAAGAGATTTCACAAATATGTAGCAATTTTATCTATATTCATACAGAGATTTTTTCTTGTAGTCTCAAGGTAAATTTTCCAAGATTAGTTGAATCACATTTAAACTGAAGAAGAATGTGCTAAACACATTGATTTGATTACGAGAGAGCAAAAGGAAATATAACAGTGGTGTGATTTTTCAATGTGATGCAGAGACCGCATACATGGAAAGCTTCCTCCACTCTCAGGTTAACACAGGTTTCACTTGGAAGACTAAGGTGCTTAGGAAAGTAATCTGTGCTAATTTGGGAGTTGGAGGAATGAGGTAAAGGGAGGGAGGGAGGGAGGGAGGGAGGGAGAAACACTGAGTACACATACATGAACACCTTACTTGTTCACAAAACAGAAACTGTACATGGTTGTTTAATCTGAGGCCAGTTAAGGTTTGATGGTAGAAAAGCGTTATTTCATCCACATCTTGCAAATGAAACAGAATGGGAAATGGGTGAGCATGCTCAAAACTAGGCAGATATCAGGATAAGGCAAGAAAAAGGAAGTGACAGCAAATAAAATAGTAATTCACACTTAAAAGACATCAGCCCACATTTCAGGGTATTTTTATTCAACTCTTTTCCGCCAACAGGCAGTAGCGCACAATGGGATGATAGATCTGTGTGTGAGTGTCTCCTTTTCTCTGACTCAGCAGCCAACAGCCCCTTCTTTCTGGGTCCCTTAGCCAACAGCAGTTTCATGGAAGATAGATGGGTACTTAATACATAGAACTGTCTTGGCTGCAATACAGCATCACAGATCCTGCTTAGAAAAGCAGGGACTGCCCTAAGCCAAAACATTCTTGTGTTAGGAGGGAGGGGGGAGAAGAAGGGAGACCTACCATTAATTCCTTAGTGCCAAACCCTATTGCCAGGCCTCCTGCATGAATATAAAAAAAGAACATAGACACAGGTAAGGCTAACAGCCACTGGCACAGGGGTTAGGGTCAATATTAGCTAATACTACAGGAGCAGGATGGAGGGGCCCAGAGCTAAAAGCCACACCAGACTGTTTTAATGAAAAAAGAGCTTATGAAAAATCATTTAAAAAAAGATTCTGGTTCAATTGGCACTGAATTATGTAAGTCCCATCAGCAATCAGGAAAGCACCTGCAAAGAAAAAGAGCAGGCATTAAGAAAGGGAGGATAATCCAGACCTCTTGCTCCTCCTCCTCATCTGTGCCAAAGATTCCAGTTGATGTTCTACTCTTGATTTCCCCAACCTCGGATTACATCTCCCAGCATTCCTCACCTTTGGCTACACTGACTTGGCTTGTGCCCTCCCAATGTGTTTGGCTTCAACTAGCATTAGGCTGATGAAGGCCACTCTAAGAAAAAATGCCTCCCCAGTCCTCTTTTTGTCTCCCCTGGTAGCCACAGCAACTATGAAGAGACACCATTATAGCACCTACAGCAGGAGACTGGCATTTATATTTGCTACAAGGAAAGACACCTAAACATGTTCTGCAAATCCACATCAGGTATCAGGAGTTCTGCAAAGTGCTTGAGGCCCAGATGCAAACAAGGACACCTGACCCAGTGCCACCAACTTGGCCATTGTTTGGTGAAAATCTGATCATTTGAGGGGTAGTACACACAGTCCACAACCAAACAGGCATTATATAAATTTATGTGATAGTCCAATGGCAAAAGAAACTGCAAGACTATACACCTCTGTTCCAGGAATGCACTCTCTTCTTCCACGCAGGCCCTCACTAAAAAAAACCCACAAGGATTTGCAGGCCTACTGGGCCAAACTGGCAAGCATCCCCCCTGTGAGCTACAGCTGGACCTGCGTGAATGCTCTTTTGCACTCCAAAGCCAGCAGGCCCTGGATCCATGCTGGGGGTGCCAACTCACCAGCTCAGCGATCGGTGGTTGTACGCAAATCTGTGGTCCGTGGATCGTGCTGGATTGTTTGGTGCAGCATGAGGGCAAGCAGCCCAGCCCGATTGGTCATGGCCATCCGTACATTGCGCTCCTGCTCAAACAGCTCATCCAGTTTGTACCACTGCAAAAGCGCAAAGTAAAAGCAATGATGTCTGTTCATACCTTGTTCCCGCTCTTAGGGTTACATTGTAAAGGGCACAATACAAAAAGAAAATGGGTTGAGACAGAGGAAAGAAAAAAAGCAAACACAGGCATGGCTTCTTACAGGTCTTCACAGCTTGAAGCAAGCTCCCTGCAGCGGTTCTTTCAGTGGCTGATGCATGAAACCAGGCAGGGCTCCCAGCTGATGTGATGCTTATCTGGGAAAGACAGGGCACAGCCTCCCAGGGAATCTTTGTTCTCTGGCCAGTGAGACCAGACTCGGCAGTCTCAGGCAACTGTCAGTTGGAGCAGTATGTTCCCTCTGGTAGGGAAGAATGATGCCAGGTTGCTGCAGCTGCTCCCTCTCTGGCTGATGTCCGGAGCAAGGGTGGCATGCCCTACCACCAACTGCCATAACGTTAAGGGAAGGAGGTAGCATGGTCTCCCAGTAGCCTTTCGTCCTCTAGCCCACGGATGAGAGTTAAAGGACTTCCACCTCTGCTATGGAATTAACCAGCCTATTTCATACAATATGGCAGGACCACATTAAGCTCTGCTGCTTCCCTGCTACCCCAAACACCAAGAGCTTCTGAATCATACCACGCGCACTCTCTCCAGGTCCACCTCAGCCCGACGCAGCTTCTCCCAGCAATAGTGTCGGTTGCATTTCCGTTTGGGCACACGGCAGAATTCCCCAGTAAGCTCAAACACGTCCTTCACCATGGGACAGCCACACACCTCATCTGCCGACACCTAGGGAAAGTCACAGCCAAGATGGAGCGAGGATGCAGCCATGGCCATGTGCATGCTAGCATTAACATTCTGCAACAAGACTGTCCAAGCGCAGCACAGGAAAAGAGCAAATCTACAGCCTGCAGAAATGATGCAGATTTGCTCATTTTGCAGAAGCTATTTTGGCTTTGTTAATCATGGGGAGGAAAAGGTATTTATGCAGGATGCTGAAATCCTTTCCCCACTCTCTAGCAATCTTAACCAGCCATGACCCTGCTTAGAGATTTCAACAAGTACTACATGATCTCAAGTGTTCTTTAATAGTCATAAGGACCAGAAAAGTGTTTTTCTTTTTAAATAAAAGCCAATTCAATGGTCAGTGCCCACATTCTATGCATTTTTCCATGCACAGAATAGCCACAAACACACATAGCCCTGGATAACGCTTAAAAAGCCTGGTATTATATTCCAGTGTATAACCATTTCCATCACAGATCAGCCCAATGCTAGAGTGGTGAATCCGCCCCTACCTTGGGGTCACGGGAATGCTCTGGGCACAGGACCTGCAAGCGTTTACAGTAGGTCTTGCTTTGCGGGTTGTAGACATCACAGAACAGACGAGTTGCTCTGGTAAAAAGAAAAGTACACACATGTAAGATTGTGCCTGGTTCTCAACAGGCTTAAGAAGAAGAAATTGATTTTAGATTCATTTTAAAAATGCAAATTAATTTTAAATTACAAGAAAGCTGATTCAGGTTACATGCTGAGAACACAAGATAGTATTTGGCTGTAGCCGTTGTTGAACATATCACTATATCATGTTGCTTCCTACAATAGTCGAAGCTATATTAGGTAACTTCTCTTTAACCTACTGTCCTCCTGATGCGTTTGACTACAACTCCCATAATTTCCCAGTCAGCTACAAGGACGGTTGCCCTACAGAATCAAATCTTCGCTCCATCTGGTTCAGTACTGCCTACAACAGGGATAAGTAACCTATTGTACAAACTACTACTTGATTACTGGCCAAGCTGGCTGGGGCTGATGGAAGCCATAGTCCAAAACATCTGCCTCAGGTATAATTGGTAGCAACTCTGCAAGGTTTTAGACTGAGGTCTTTGCCAACATCATTCCTTCTAACTGGAGATTGCAGGATCCAAACATGTGCTCTAACTCTGAGCTAAGCCCTTAGTTGGTTGGAAAACTTATCCCCTCTCATAACTGGAGAGATCAGAATTTCCTGACCAGGAATGCCAGTGGGTGAAGGGAGTGGGAAGAAAAGAGGAAGAACCTGATCAATAGGATTTCACCTCCTGCTCACTCTCGCTCTCTCTCCGTGTCTGTGTGTGTGTGTGTGTGTGTGTGTGTGTGTGTGTGTGTGTGTCTAGGGCATACAGACATTCCAGGGTGAAAGAATGATCTCTTCTGGAGCCCCACTACTATTCCATATTTTGTGAGAGTGTGCTGGTAATGTGCAGCCTTTAAATTAATTAATTAATCAAATATTCCTGAAGTTCCTGCCTAGCACTGTGCCCACTGGCCCATGACCCATATGTGGAAATACATGAGGCTAATCCAAAAAAGATTAAAAAGAAAAACTCCCAGATAGAAGACTGCAGAATCTTCCCTTCTCCAGCTTCTGAAGACAAGATTCAGGGTAAGTTTTCACTGCACTGGTATGACCTGTCACACTACAGTTCATGTTCACAGAGGAGCAGGCAGAAGAACAGATCACACCAGCACAGTGAGTGCTAGTGGGCAGAGTTTGATAAGCAGCCCCTGGCAGCGAGGGGAGAGGGCGAACTTACCCTTCAATACGTGTTGGATACATAGACCCAAAGGATGTCTGGCTCTCATACTGCAGAGGGAGAGAGAAAAGGAAACAACCATCATGACCGTTCAGCAGAACAAAAGCATTGCCACACCCTGTAAGGTGAAGAAACAATATCCCCCTCCCTCCTGGCACCAGCTCAACTAGTTTTAACAAAGAGTCATGAAATTGGTGCCACCACCCTCTCACATCCTTGATCAACCTTCTCCAGCCTGTTGATTGGTGGCAGTTGTAGTCCCAGATGGTGGAAGGCTGGAGGAAGGCTATCTTGGACCAACCGTCTCCAACCTAAAGCCATCCAGGTTTGTTGGACTACAACAATCATCATCCCTGACCAGCAGAGAAGCTGGCTGGGGCTGAAAGCAATTGCTAGCCACAGTATCTGGAGAGCACCTGGTTGAGGAAGGGTATCCGTCCATTAGGAACACAGACTGTAACCTATGTACATCTACTGGAGTTCAAAGCATATGCAGGATCAGGCCATACATGAGCATACCAGCAAACCCGCATCACATTTCTGGGATGCATTTAAAATGCCAAACTAATACTGAAATAGATGAACAAAGAATCCAGCACTGGCCCTTTGATGGCATTGATCGAAGCTCACTAGCCAGAACCACCACTGACACAAGAGAAAGAAACTGGTGCTTCTAGAACAGGACAAATCCTTCCCAGAAGCAGCAGTCTGAGCTAGTTTCTTCCATGACCCTCTCAAACTCTTGCATTAGCATTCATTCCTATAGTGCAAGGGCAGCACTGGATATTGGCCTTGGCTTCTTATGATAAACAGCAGCCTGCTAGATACCTCAGGCATGTTTAGAAGAAAAGGAGTATCTAACCTTCTTTTAACAACTCAAGAATTTTGTTGGCTAGGTTCACAAAACATAAGCAACCCTGCACGTTTATCATGGGTTGTGGTCTTCTTCACCATGATCTACTTGACAGATGATCAAGCAGATTCTCTGTCATGGCTTCCATCCTCCCTGCTCAGTCCTCCCACAAGTGGCAGCATCCCATCAGCCACGGCACCTGAAATTCAATCCCAGGGTGCATTGCCCCTTGACTTTATAGCCTACTTCCTCTCTGGTCTGCACAACAAAGGCAGGATTCTGGAGTCACTCCTGAAGTTGCTGCTCTTTTCCAGAGGACTTGGTAGTAGCTGCATACCAGAACCATGGAAACTGTGATCTTGGGTTCAAAGCATGGTGGTAAAGAAAAGACATAGAATAAACTCTTGTTTCTTATTGTGATTTCTAAAGACCAAACTTACTATGATGAAATACAACACTTAGGTTTGGAAAACACACCAACCAACAATGGTTTTAAAAAACACCATGCCTGTTGTGTTGTCTGAACCCAGCCACTGTCTTTGACTAATATAGTTAAGCTTCTGATTATCCATGGTCAGGGACATCTTCAAAGGTAGTATGGCTACATGGGGCCCAGACTGCAGCAGGGGCCCAGTGATCTGATCATCCTTTTCATCACTGCAACCAGCTTGTTCATCTGACTCACACTCTGGCCAGACAACACTGGTGGTGGTGCTGGTGATGAGGAGGGTGAGTAGCAGGTGCCCTATCCACTTGCTCATTGGCTCTTGCCTGTCAAGCAAGTGAACTGTACCAATGATGAGAAGCATGATAAGGAGCAGCAGCAGATGGAGACAGTGCAAGTGAGAAAGTAGAATCCCTGGGGGTGGCAACCCATTGAGGGTGCTGAGTCTCCCAGCACCTTGGCACCACCCTTTTTATCCACTCTCACAACAGTTTTTGAGGTACAACTACAAATGCTCCCACTTTACAGAAGGAAGAGAGGCTGAAAAGAAGTGGCTCGCTCAAGATAACCCTGGAACACAAATTTAAACTCAGGGGCTCTTGAAATCCAACATCATAGTGAGCCAAGATAGAGAAGAAGACAACATACCTTGGCATAGCACCGCTCCATGTGACGCAGAGCAACCTTGGGATTGATGGGATGACCGCAGGAAACGCAGAATATCTGCAAATCCGTGTCATCACTGTCTCCTTCACTGGTCTGGGAAAAGAGGCAAACAGAAGTCAAAATTAGTATCTAGTATCTCAGGCCAAACCACCATGAAACTAAGGTAGTCCCTCCCAACAGATGCTTTGGACTACAACTCCCAGGATCCCTGAACAGTGGCCATGATGGCTAGGCCTGGCAGACTTTGAAGACCAAATGTCTAAATGGCACCAGGCTGGGGTAGGCTAGAGTAGGCCATGCCTGAACAACATTAATCCACCAAGCCAAACACAACCCAACAAGTCCTGCCAAGAGCTTGCAAACAACACCCCACACAGACCAATTTTTGCAGTTTGTCAGGCAAGCAGCTAAATGAGGATGTTTTTAAGCTTTCAATAGGCCCTTATACTGGACTTGCAAACTACATTTTGCTTGGTAGGTCATAGGCTTTACTGGTCCGTGTTTGAGTCCAATCACGTTTCCCAGGCTGTCAAGCAATCCTAGTTCCAAACCAACTTGGGACTTAAGAGTTTTGTAAGCTTCCCTTTCCTCCTTCCTATTCTAGCCTAAGGTGGCAATTCAATCCCACAGCCTACTTTTCTCACCACTCCTGGGGAAGTAGCAAGGTTTATGAAACTCAGTCAACTCCACACACATGCACACACAGAAGCAATATTGCACACTGCGCAGAATGACAACTGCTGAGATTAAATGTTCCAGGAAACATACCCCAACCCCCCCCCACACACACACACCTGCAAGCTGCTTTTTGTAACATCTTGCCTGATGAAGAGATCTTGAAAGCTTGCACATTTTTGTGGATTGTTTTGGTTGGCCTAATAAAAGGTATTACACAAATATGGATTTTTGGATAGAATTCTGGGCACTCCCAAATGCTTGCTTAATAAATAAAGGGGTGTGGGTGCCCTGAAGCACAGTTCCAAAGCAACCTCTGGTCCAACAAAGCAATTATCATCACTTTCTATCTTTATCTGCATGTGTGGCATAACTGCTCATATGAACTTTTGCACCAATGGGATCTGCAAATCCACTAGCCTAAATAAGCGAATTTAGCAAGACAGGCTAGCAGAAATAGCTTCTTTATTGTGTCTTATAGCTTATTACAGGGATTGACACCATACCCTTCTCAATAAAAATCCCAGCATGCCTTCACCATCATCAGAAGGCACTTTTGCTCCACAGGATCAAGTTCTTATAAAGCAGGAGTGTAGAACCTCTGGTCAAGGGAGGCCAAATCTGGCTCCCTTGGGGTTTCCCAAAGGACAACATCCCCTTTCCCAACCATTGTGCAGTTTTTCTCTACTCCAAAAGGTTGAAATGTTTCTCCTAAGGCTAATTTACTGACAGGAAGAGCTTCAAGCTACAGAATGCATGCAAGTTTTGGGATTTTGCCCCCCTCCCTCCCCCAGAATGCAGCCATGAAATAGAATATGGTCCACAGGCGGAACAAAGTTTGGCACCCCTGCCATAATGCCGTTCAGACAATCAATTGTCAGAGGCACTACACTCTCATAAGAAGATTATGACGACAAATCCAATATACATAACCTGGGAATGCATCTTAAAGAGCTAGGAATTAATATCCAGATGCACAAAGGAAAAACATGTCTATATGAGAGGTTACAACCCCCCACCCCCTGGTGCTAATCTACTTAAGAATGCAGGAATCCTGGTGGCAAACCCCATCTCCCCCCTTCTTCCAGGTACCTCTTCATCTTCCTTGATGGCTTGCTGCTTGGCCCGGACAATGATAGCTTCCAACTCATGGAATTTGCGCTCCATTTCCTGTAGTTTGAGCCGGGCCTGCTGCTGCTCCCGCCGTATTCGTTCCAGCAGCTTCTTGCCATGCTCTTCTGCCACACATGGGCTTTGTTGCCACTGCTGGATGCGCTGAGGGAGGATCTCATAGATACGGCTGGGGAAGAGAGAGGAGAAACAGGCAATTTGCTATTGGTACAAAGGGAAACACCAGAAAACAGGCAGCATCACATACAAACAGTACAATGCCAACCTATGGAATTCATTTGCCACAAGATATTGCAGTGGCTGATGCCCACCCCTGTCCTAAAGCATCATGTGCCCCCCCAGATGTTTTCATCAACAATCCTAATGAAGCACCTTTCCTACATTCTTCATCTGAAGGCCTCTGCAAAGTGCCTTCTCTGATGGAGCAAGACAACAAGGAAAAGGCCTTCTCAGTGGTGGCTTCCCAATTATGGAAAGCCCTCCCAAATGATGCCCACCTGGCACTAGGATAAGACTTTCCTCTACCCCCTGACATTTAACAGTATATGATAAAATTTTTAATGAGTCCTGGAATTACTGTTGATTGTTTTTGATTAGTCTTATAGTATTTTTAAGATTTTGATCTTCATAGAACTGCCCAGAGTGCTTTAGCTATTGGGCAAAAATATAACAAATGAAATGAAGTCAACTAATCCCTGTCCATTAGTTGTGCTAATTGGGACTCTTGGGCCTTGTCAGCCAAATTCCCTAGAAGTCCACAAGCTGCACACCCGTGCTTTAAGGCATTATGTGAACAATCTGTAACCCATTTTTACAAATCGAAGAAGAATCAGATCTAGAAGAAAAAGAGGGCTCTAAATGCAATGTGCAAAACAGCCTCCTCTTGCACTGGGCTACAGAAAGACTATAAATAAGCTGGGAGAAGATAATTTTCAAATTATAAGAGCAACACAAAGGAGTTTCACATTCCCCTAAGTTAGACCAATTCACTTGCTTCCTGGTTTGGGCAGTCAGGGAATTTATATTGCCCACTACTGCATGGTGGAGTCCATCTTCAAAAACACCCTTTCAGCTACATCATCATCATTGCTTTTGTGCACTTGAAGGTAGACACCCAAATCCATTGTGTGTATTCCACAGATCCAAACCTGCCTCCTCTCCACCACTCTCCCGGTGGCTCCATGGGCCCTCATCCCCCATACTAGAAGATGAGCAGACAAAGCCAAAAGGAAAAGGAATAAGAAGTAGGGGAGAGGTCCAGATCTTACTTTGCCGCCAGCTTCATTCCACATTCATCGGAGCAGTACTTTGAGTTAAGCCGAGCAGCCTGGATGCAACCAGGGCCAAGGCACTGGTGCAGTGAGGAAGGGTCTTTGGCATCCACCCGTTCAGCATGCTTGGATCTGTCACGGTGCTTTTGCTTCTGCTTGTGCCGCTTGTATTTCTCTTCCTTCTGCAGGCCAAAACCCACCAAAGGCGCAGTTAGATACAGTACATTCCTTCTATGGCATCCTTGCCACAGTGAGAAGAAGCATCCGCTATGGCAGAGGTTTCTCAAATGCAGGCCATCGTGCCTGCAGTGTGTTCAAGTCCTTTACTCCAAGCCTCAAGTCAAGCCTTGAGTCTTTACTTTCAAGTCCAAGTCAAGTCTCAAGTCTCAAGAGGCAACCCCTGTCTCCCTGTCCCTATCACAAACCACCTCCCACTGCTCCCACCCACCCTCTTCCTTCCTTCCCATTGACTCCCACCCCCATGAAATTCCCTTCCCCCACCACCTCTGCTGTGTTCATGGCTGCCTTCCAGGATATCCTGCCATACAGTAAGCTCTGGAGCAACTTGGTCCTAAAAAATGTAGAAATCTTGAGTCGAGTCTGAGTCAAGTTGCTAATGCGACTTGAGTCAGACTTGGGAGTGAGTTGCTTGAGTCCCCAACACTGGTAGCCATCTTTTAAGCTATGCATACAGATAGACAGCTTGTGAATGGGGTAATTGGACAGCAAGTGTTTCCAGCATATTTGGTTGATCACACTGTTGCATTTGAATCACCCTGGACTGCAGCTTAGCATTGTTGCTTGTTAGGGAGCTTTGTGAAAGAGCTTCACAGTGTTGCTTCTTCTGACACAAGCCAGTCTAATGATTTTGAAGCACAAGCCTCATGGGTTTCCTTGCTCAGTGTCACAACAGTTTGTTTTTTTCTCTTAGTTCTTTCTTGTATAGTCTGCATGCCTCCTTTAGATAGGACAGGTGGTTAATCACACTGGATGCTGCCTGCTTTAACACTACAGAAAATATTAGCTTTAGCTGAAAAAACTTGATTCATATTTGGCCTTTGAGAAACAAGTAGAGGTGTAATGGCCTTATCTTTAAAATGCCAAAAAGGGACTACCCCTTTCTAGACATATTGAACCTTCTTTTTCATAATTAAAGCTGGAATTCTAAGGCTGCTAAAAGTTAGGAGAATTGTCTTACAATATCCATTATTAATCAGACCTTTAATTTTAAATTTATGCCTCCTGAAATGAGGTCTTGTAAAAGTTCCAGGTGTTATTTAGCCCACTCAGCAGGATCCCAGCACAGAAATAGCACACAGCTTCACAAGAACTCAGTACAAAGCTGCTTGAATGAGCAGGCATTCCTGCAGTTTTAACTCTCTCCAGACAATGCGATAGCACATAACTGGTCTTGCTCTGATCCCCCCTGAGCTGTATTACTGGATTATAAGGAAGCATTGCAGCTTGTAATCCAAACTGATCAGTCTCTTGAGAATAAAGTCCAAATGCACAAAAATAGTTTGAACAGTCTGGCTAGTCAACACACAGCACTCCCCCAAATCTTTGTAGTTCTAGCCAACAGTTTCTGTTCAGCTATTAAAGGAATATTATTATTAGCATTATCCTTTTTTAAGTCCACTGTGTGTCCGCTCAGCTATTATTGCATACAGAGAAGTGAAACAATTTCATAGGATTGCAGATTCCTTGTGAAGGAAAACATAATTATCCATACTGTTCTGTTTAAACATTGCTGACTAAATCATTGTCTTTATCCAGGCACCTGTGTATTTCCACTCCTTGTGTTTTTACTTCTTACATCCCACAACATCTTCATAAGAGACTCACTGAAGAAATCTGCTGGCACGCCAGTGCTTCAGCACACATCATTCTATAGTCTATTAGGATGACCTCCAATAAGTGTGTCTATGTGCCTGGTATTCTGTCATCATGCAACAATTCTTGCTGTTCATATATTGTTATAGATCACCATGGACTATAGAGCAGATCATGTATGGTAACAATATGGGAAGAACCATAACTTGGTGCCAGAGGACATTTCTGCACACAGTAGGTCCCAGCTTCAATCTCTCGCATCTCGAGTTATATGATCAGGGAGCCATTTATGGGGAAGACCTCTTCATGTCAAAGAGCTGTTAGAAGCCTGTATAGGGAATACTGGGCCATAAGTACCAATGGTTTCAGGCAGGTTCCTACGCTTGTGACATAGATCTGTCTCTGTGTGATTATGTCCATCCGTCTCTGTCTCTCCCTCTCCCTCAGTGTGAGTGTGTGTTTGTGTGTGTGTGTGAAGAGAATCTTGTATATGTGAGAGAGAGTATGGTGGTAGCTGAGGTAGCATATGACATCCCTTCCTACCATGTGTGTGGTCCTTTGGTAAAACTAAGAGTTTCCCACCCCAGTCTAAATAATACACCTTTTGTTTACCACCAGATGTGAGCTTTCTATTCTCAGCTCTTATTTTTCCCCTATAACTCAGACAGCAAAAACTAAGATACAAGTGTTTAGTATAAGTTCAGCCACTGGTAACTCTCTCATGTATTAGACAGAATCACAACTTTGCTTGCACAAAAGCAGACATTTGGGCTTTTGAGATTGCAACCTGATGTGTATTTTCCTGGGAGTAAGCAACACTGAACATAGTTCTTCTGAATAAACAGACATAGGATTATTTGATGTACGAAGCCTTGGGAAGGCTTTTTACCCTAAAGGCAGCACAAAAGTACTGAAATATAATAAATAAAATTCTCCTGAAAATTTCAAGAGATACCAAATAACACAAGTTTATATGTTAGATAAGCCATAAATCATGCATTTTATGTTGTGAAAACATTAAATTTAGAGATGGTAAATGAATACTGCATACATTTAAAGCATCCATAAAAATGTCTATCATTTCCCCACACACAAATTAAAAAGCTGTCCCCTCCTTCCATGATGGCTTCAAATTTCTGGATACTGTAATCTCTCCTGAAATCTCCAGTAAAAAGCATCTGATAGCAGGAAATAAGACAGAACCCTGTATAAAACACTGAAGGACTGCTGAGAGTCAGAGTCATCAGTACTGAACTATATGGACTAATGGTCCAACTCAATTTAAGGCATTTTCCTATGCTTGTACCACATATACTTTCCATTGTGATTTTCCTGATCCTGTGTGCAGGAGATGGCCTGGGAGACCCCTTCTGATTCACTCTCTTTCTATGTTTCTGTGAGTCAGCAAGTGCCAAATCTAGGCTATAGTATTTTCAAAGGCTGAAACCACTCTAATCCAGAGGTTAGGTTGTAGGATTCATCATGCCAAGCATCCAGATCAAGCAGGAGTTTCCAAGAGAGTGGTCTAAAAGAATAGCCAAGGGTTGAGGAATCTGTCCAGTCCTAAAGATCAAGGCACACAATGTGTTGAAATGCAACAGAGTGCCAGATCCTCTGGGCTAATTTACAGGTCAGCTGCTTGTTTCCCTCCAGTAACAAGTGAAAGACAGCTTGATTCTGTTTATTGTGGTGCAAGCTTCTGAGCATCTTCCAAGTACAAAAGTTGAATCCTATTTACTGTTCATTAGCCAAAGCTTCCCTTCTGAACCCTTCTGTGTGTAAACCCAGAAGGAGGAGCACCACAAAAGCACACACACCTACGCCCTTCCCTCTGTGAGTCCAATTGGGCTTCACACTGACTTTGGCACCAAGCCAGAGGATTAAAGATTGCAGGCGCATCGTTAGTGGAGGGGGTCATTTCAGCATTGTGCACTGTGGGTCGTACCTCAACACTGTGCCCTGGCTCAGGTTCCTCTGAGGTTGCCTCCATTTCTACATCCCGCCTTGGAGGCAGCAGCCCTTCAACTCTCCCATGGGAGAACTGCGGTGGTGGTTCCAGTGTCCTTGTACTATCTCCTCCTGTGGCAACTCCTGTCTGATCTCAAGAGCCTGAAACTTATCTTGAGGGTGGACTGTTTGACAAACAATCTCCTTGTCTTCCTCAGAATCTTCATCCCTATGAGAACAGGCACTGAGTACCTTATGCATACACAACAGCTATAAAGGGAGGTCCCATGCTTCAGTTTGGACTTCTGTTGCTTGCACTTGATCCTCCTGCTTTGTGAGGGGCTAATTCCCTCCAGTTCTGCCTCCAGCATTTGAGGAAGTTCAGAAATGGCCCAGGAGGCCCATTCAAATGGAAGACTGTCAGCTACAGCATCAACTTGACTAGGGACTACTGTGTTGGCTCGCCCTCTCTTCCTTCTGAGCTGAATCCTCTGCCAGGATGACCATGACAGTGATTATGTTTATCTACACAGATATTCCCCAAGAATAAGACAAAGATTTGACAAGCATTGTTTGTGTTGTTGGTGGTGCTGGTGATTTGGTTTGTTCTAGATGTCCAGAAGCATTTGACTGGTTGCAGCTGAAGAAGAAATACTCAGCTAGACCTGCTCTCACAGGGTACAGCTTATGTCCTACTTTCCCACAGAAGCAGGCTTGGACAGGTTTTGCAACAGTGTTTGGTTTTGGTCACACTTGCATCCCCTAGAAAGTGCTGCAGCTTCAGGACAACTGAAAACCACTAAAACTCAGTCAGCATCACAGCACAGTCACTGAAATACTTTCCCGCCCATGATCTAGGCAAGTTGCCATTTTGGGACTGTACCTTTTTCTCAGATTTCTTCTCCCTGCGCTTGACATGCTTCACCTTCACAGCCCGTTTCCGCAACATGGGATCAAGGAAGGGTGCATCATCTGTGTCGCTGAGCCATGGCTAAGAAGAGAAAAAAGAGGAATCAAGCAAGCCTTCTGTATACAGAAACCTTGTGCTACATTACTGCCACTTTGGAGGTAAGTCCTTTAAGAACAGTCAAACAGCACTGCTTGCAAAGAAAAAGCAAGGTTTGCTTTTAGTTCACCCAAGGAAAAACTGCATGCATTCTAAACATTCACAGCCCTGGACCGTATCTAGTTTTGTGGGAGCATCACTTTGACAAGGGAGTTAAGAGTGTGGCAAGGACAAGGCTATATGCCGCAGGCCCTATAACATGGCCTGTCATTAGAGCCCATTGTCACCAACACTATTCAGCCACACTCATTTGCAATGAGTCATTTGCATCCGAAAGTTTTCAGTTTGCAATTAAAAAATGAACTGATGCCCTAGTGCAATCTCATTTAGCATGCTTATTTCACTTGTTACGTAGTAAACAAAGTTTTCAAAAAGTACTCCATGCTAATTTTTTGTCCCAATACACCACAATTATTTGACCCAAAATAGTTGAGGCAAAAAAATTAAAGCTTATGATTTAAATGTTATGTTAAAATGCTTATCAGAATATTTATAAACATGTAAAGGCAGTGGGGTTGGAGCTACTTGTAACCTTGCATCAGCAGGACCAATTTCTCCCTCTTCTCTGTGGGAGACCCACAGCCTCCCCGCCACCCCAGCAGATTTCAAGCACACATGAGGAGTTACAAACAGAGGAGGAAGAACAGGGGAACCCTTCAGCAGGAATGATTTCCACTCATATGAGGAACAGATCAAACCCAGTAGCAAGTCTTCCCTTACACTGTTTATATCTAAAATGAAAAGGTTCTGAAATCTGTTGAAACAGTAATACATCTCAGCAATCCAAAGAACTGTGCATCTATAACTCTTGAAGTGTCAAAGTTGCCTGATATTGCACTTGCAGTTGGCATCCATACATTGTTACCAGTAAACTTACAAAATGTATTCCCACCCACACCCTGAAAGGCAAAGTACAGCAGTACTTATTGCCCCCTACTGCCCCCACATGACTAGTCACACCCATCTTTTCCTCCTGGGATTGGCAACAGATCTGGTCCAGCCAGTTAATCAGCTGCTGTCCGTTATGCTCTGAACTAACCACATCACACAGTCTCAAATTTAGAGCAAAATTTAGTAAAGCCCCACCTATGGAGGCCACCAGAAAACCCTAGCTTTTTGGAGCAATGCCCCACACAACAAGGATGCAGCATCTGTATTGGGCTTACTTCATGAATTGGACACACTTTTACTCCATGAAACACACACTTGTGACCCAACAAAAATGTGCTTCACAGGTGTTTAAGGGTCTTTTGTACAAGTGGGGACAAGTGGAAGAAACCAGAAGCAAATCTGGCAGAGCCTCTAATCACCAAGAAATTGGACTTCAATGCCACCAGTACTAAATTTCCTACTTCATCTACCATTAAATGATCCCACTCTAATCTTTTCAGAAAGCCTCTACAATTTTGTTTCAATTAGGCCTTGGAAACCAGGTTATATTCATGAGATACATGCAATTCTTTTTAGACAGGCTAAAATACCATTGTTACATGCCTATCTACACACTTCTGCCTTGCCACTGGTTGAGCAGCAGTGACATCACTGAACCTTCACAAACATACTATTTAGTGGTGGGAAGCATCAGCGACAAAACATAAACAACTCATCTATGACTTTGAACCTACCAAGCTTACCCAACATTATATTTGCCATTGGCATCCATCCACTGTTTAATAGTTTACATTGTTTATGATTAGATGTATTTTTTCTAATGCAAAATAGAAATGTGAAAACCTTTTCCACCCCACATCACTAGACACACCCCAGCATGGTTTATATGAGAAAAGTGAAAGGTGTAGAAGACGACCCTTGTGCTGTTAAGCAAGGGGTGCTAGGCAAGCAAAGAGGCTGAGGACAAAGAACTTGAGTGAGAAGAAGTGACAGAGACAGCCAGACAAAAAGCAAAGATTTGACAGAAGAGAACACTTGAGAGCTTAGAAAGCTAAGGGAAAGAGACAGAAGTGAAGAAAGAAAACGGGCCAAGACAGAAAAGAAGGCCTGCGGATAATCTCGAGATTCAGGGTTGAACAGACAGCTGAAAGTGGGCAAGCAGGGAGCTCTAAAAGCTGGGGACTATGTAAATTCCATGAACAGCTACCCATGAGTTGTATAAACCATGAGCAGTTGAGTCAAGGGAGTGAGCAAGCATGTTGCCTTCCAACCACTCACCACTTCCGCTTTGTTTCCACTTCTAAAAACAAGCCAGGAACTGGGTCATGCTCTGCAATATCTGAACAGCAGCCTGGGGTTTTAACCTATGGCTTGCTATTGGTTTAAAACTCTGGATTGTTTCTCCCTGAACAACTCAGAGTGCCACAGAACACCCAGGAACAGGGTGTTGGCAGATCATTTAGCAAAGTGAAAATGGCAAGTGGTAGCTGGTTGCCTAGTTTGCTGTGATACTGTCTTGACTACCAATGATTTAAAGTGCATGGGGTAGTCATTATGTGCAAACTTGGTCAATTATATGGCATATTCAGCCAAAGGGTTGAGTGTTATTTCTCTTCTGTACTTGATCTGAGTAACGTCAAGGTACAGAACTGGGAATTATGTGGGAAGGTAGGAGGGAATGGACCCCAGAATACACACTGTCCTCTGACAGGGTTTGCCTACCCAAGTGTTCCCCTGCCAACATGACTGAGGAATCCAAAGGGAATGGATCCACCACAGGGTCTCACCAGGTTCTGATCATCGAAGGCCCCTGAACAAAGCTCCTGATACAAATCGGGATCTATGTGCAGATCATCATCCGACAGAGGCTCAGGTGTGGCAGCCGATTCTAGCTGTTCCTTTAGCAGCTGCAGATCATCCTCCCGCCCCCGTAACATCTATTGAGCATTTAGGGAAAAGGGGTGTGGGGGGGGGGGAAGCAGTGAGAGAGAGAAAGAGAAAGGAGCAAGAAAGAGAAAAAGAGAGAGAGAGAAAGAGAGAGAGAGGAAAGCATTAAAGAAGCCATCCCTCTGGCTTCATAAGCACAAGGCAATGAAAACAGCACAAACACACCCCTCTCTTCCTGTGCACAGCAATGGTGAAAACAGAAAATGGGGCTCACTGAATGGCAAGCAGCAAAGCGCAAAAAGAAAAGAAAATCCCAACACCCACTTATTTTCCAAAAATTGAGAGCTTAGGAGAAAAAGCTGAGTCAAGTTTAAAGAAGCAGGGCCAAATGGCCCAGAAAAAAATCTGCAGCTAAAAATGTATCTAAACTGGGCTCTCAGGTGCCCATACTTCTCCATGCCAACCCATTAAATATCAGGCTGGGCCTAAACATGCAGCAGAACAAGATGGAGAATGAGGTGCTAACACGGATGGGAGCATTTCACACAAAAGAATCTCTTGACACCTGCCAGCTCCCTATTATTATTGTTATTGTTGTTATTTTCTTTTTTTAATTGGGAGGATGGTTTGATGCAAAGCAAAGTGCCTCCCTCCAGCATCATCTTTACTGGAGCCGTCCTGAGATCTTGTATAATAGGACGGCATACAAAAGCTTTCAATCAATCAATCAATCAATCAATACAAAATCAATCAATCAATACTGTGATCCAATAGAATGGCTTTGTGTTTTGAGCCTCAGCCACCAATCTTTGCCTTCTACTTAGAGCAACTTATTTGTCTATTAGCTTCACTGGTTTCCTTCTGAGAAATGAATATTTTGTGACTAGACACACCCAGTATAGTAGCTTTTTATGAATGGGCAAGTCCACCACACCCCAGTCATTTTGTGAGGTGGCTATGATATGCCAGCTTTCTTTGAATTATTTTTTTAACATGCCACTGCAGCACTCCCCATCTGCCATCTGAAGCAGCACTGACTATTCAAGTGGTCTGGAACTTTCCCAACCTCATTCTGCTGCAAGTATAGACCAGGCCTCCTCCTGCTCCCACTAGCTAGGGAAAAAAAATCCCAGGAGTCCCAACTTAACACTCATCTATTTTCAATCCTGAGTTTTAAATTAAAAAGAAAAAAGAAAAAAAACTGGAGGGAAAAAGGAAACTTACCGAAGCTGGAAAATATTTATAGGACTCCTAGGAAGAAAAGAATGGGAAAAAAAAAATCACGTGTGAGCTACACACAAATCAACAGCTTCAATTTGAGGTGGCTGCCACTCTGGAGTAGAGCAGCCAAGAAAGTGCCCCGCAGAGAAAACATGCAATGATCTCTGGGCAGCAAGCGCCCACCAGAACACTCACCCGAGCCCGGACCTGGCATTGCCGCAGACGGCACTTCTGACGGATCTTGTTGGGGCCCCCGAACTTCTTCATATCACGGCAGAAATCGCACTGCCCGCAATCCTCCGTGCGCCGGCAAGCCTCGCATTCACCGCACATGCGTGCCGAACGCTTGATCTGCTGCAGGCAAGGAAAGTGGTGTGAGGCATGAAAACTTGAGATGTGGTCTCCACTGTGCTTGTTTGAATGCCCCTGCCCCAGCAACTATTCAGTGTCTTACAAGAGCAGGGATAAGTAAAGCATGGTCACACATTAATACTGGTGATGGAATTTGTGGTGGTGGTTCTGGTTTCAAAAGGAAAAGGAAAGAGCAACCATCTTGCTTGTAGCACAGTGTCGTGCCTGACGGCTCGACAGAGACGTCGACTCGCGAGAAAGAGTCAAACGTTCACAATGAGAATCAGGCATTAGAACAAGGGGACTTATACTTGGGGCCCAGTGCCCAAAAGGGCCCCCTGCAGCCTGACTCTGGGACTGCTGAGCAAGTAGCCCCCTCACACCCTGACTCTTTGGCCTCTGAGTAAATTGCCTCCCCACAGCCCGACTGTGAGGCTCCTGAATGAGTAGCTTCTCCTCATCCTGTCTCTGAGGTGATTGAACAAGTTGCCCCCGCCCCCCCGCACGCCTCCTGACTCTGAAGCTGCTTGGCAGAGTTCAGGAGAACAAGAAGACATTACAGTGAATCTGGCAGACGCCCAATTTAGGAGGAGTTTAAGGCGTCTAGATCAATTGTGGCTCGACCAATTGAGAAGATAGGACAGAGGTTTGTCCCACCCACGAGCGGAAAGACGTGACAGGAAAATCTAATCCAATGAGGGCTTCTCAGATACTTCAGAAAGGAGGGGGCAACTGTGTTGCTAGGAGTTCCCCCCTAGAGATTATCTGTTGCATTGTAAATCTTGTAGAAAGTAGCAATAAAAGTCTTTAGTTTTATGGCTGGCTGCTGTGTGAGTTAATTGGAGACATGAGTTACGACCTCACGACAGCTTGCCCCCTCCTTTCTGCGTGCTCCAGCACAAACAGGAGCGTTGAATCTCACACAGCCAGGCAAAGATTTTCTCTCTCTTTTTCTCTTTCTCTTTTTGGAGCATCGCAACAATGGATCCCGCAGCCCAGGTTTCACCAGGGGACCGGAATCTGCTAGATGAAAACGCCCTTCTAAGGAACAAATATACAGAGGTGACTCAACAAATAAATGACCTACGTGCAGAGTTAAATATTCTTCGGGCTGCTCAGCCGGCGGCAGCTCCCCCACAGGCTCCTGTGTTAAAATTGAGACGCTGCCCAGTAGAGCCCCCCCCCCCGCAAGTACGACAGGAGAAAAGAAGGATTTACGACTTTCAAAGCGCAATGTGAGCTGTACATACATCTTCGCCAAAATGACTTTACTGATGAGAAAACCAAGGTAGGCTTCTTAATTAATCAACTTACTGGGCCAGCTGCTTGTTCGTCAACCACAAGACTGATAGCTCAGGACTCCATTTTGAATAACGAGACAACTTTCCTCAATGCCTTAGAAGAGTTTCTAGGCATGGGGGCTCGCAAAGAAATGGCCATCTGTGAGATTAAACGCCTGCAGCAGGGAGTGGGCTCAGCTACAGACTACACGAGCAAATTCCAGTTTTTAATGAATGACTCGGGGTGGAACGAAGAGGCCTTGATGGTGCAGTACCAAGAGGCCTAAGGGGGGAGATTCTAGATGACTTGGCCAGTGCTCCTCTGCCAGACAATTTGCAACAGTTAATGCTTGTGACCATCCAACTTGATGCAAAGCTGACTGAGTGGGAACAAGAAAGGCCCAAAAGCCGCCCTGGCCCAATGCCAGCTAGAGAAAAATGGTTCCCCTGGACAGAGGCCAAGCCCCGCTGACTCACACCAGATTACTAAGTTGCCGAGGCAATGGCTCAGCCAGAGCCGGAGCCAATGCAGCTGGGAGCTGCCAGGCCTTGCATTCCAAGAGGGGGGAGTGTTTACCGCCGTCCAGCTGGACCATGTTTTGTTTGTGGACAGATAGGACACCTGGCCCGGTTTTGTCTGTGGAAAAAGCAGGCGGGAAACTTCCAGTCCCAGCATTGTTAAGCACCGTGATACTGGGACCTATAGTCCGACCACAAGGGTACCCCTCCCCCACAGGACCTCCTCTGCCAAGACACCTGCTGATTGATGCCACTTTACAAGCACACCCACATCCTGCAATACGAGCCACCGCACTGTTTGATAGTGGTGCCACTGCTTCATTTTTGGATGAGAAATTGGCTGAGAAACACTCCTTTCCTACGTCTTTGCTACCAGCCCCACTTCAGGTGGACTCAATCCAGAAGCACCCCCTGCAGGGAGGCCCTTCCTCCCACCAGTCCTCCCCACTCACCTTGCAGATTGGCAGGCATCGCGAACAGACTGTTTTCTTGTTGGTGAAGGATTTATAGTACCCCCTGGTACTTGGCATGGACTGGCTAGTCAAACATGAACCCCAGCTATCATGGGACTCTGGACAAATACATTTCAATTCGACATTTTGTTCCCAACATTGTACTGATTCTCCCACCCAAACTCCTTAAATCTCCCCCCCACCCCACGCCTTCCACCACCGCTCTTCCTCCATGGTATCAAGATTTTTGGGATGTCTTTGATCCGCAGGAGGCAGACAAACTACGTCCTCACCACACGTGTGACATGGAAATCCACATACAGCTGAGGGCCACACTTCCAGTCGGCAAATTGAGGCCCATGTCACCAAAAGAGCTGCAGGTCCTTAAAGAATTCATTTCCACCAACCTAAAAAATAGGTTTCATTCACCTGTCCTCATCACCTACTTTGACCACACCCATCATTGTCCCCCGAAAAAATTCCGAAGAACCCAGAGTCTGTATCGATTACCACCACCTGAATGTCATCACAGTCCCCAACACGCACTCCATGCCACTAATCTCCTAGATTTTAGAATGCCTGGGTCAAGCATGCATTTTTACCAAATTGGATCTTTGCAATGCCTACAATTTGCTCCGCATCCGCCCTGGGTTTGAGCACCTGACGGCCTTCTCGTCTAGATTTGGCAACTTCGAGTTTTTAGTGACGACTTTTGGAATCGTAAATTCGGGACAATGGTTTTCCAGGCTTATCAATGAAATCTTCCACGATTTTCTAGATGACTTTTTGATCGCCTACCTGGATGATTTGTAAATCTTTTCCAACGACCCGGAGTCTCACATACGCCATGTACGAGCCGTTCTCCAATGCATGCGTGAGAACCACCTCTCTGCTAAGTTTGAAAAATGCGAGTCCCACACTACTTCTCTCATGTATCTCAGCTACCAAATTTCCCAAGATGGACTGCAGATGGACCCCGAGAAGGTACGAGCTGTACTGTCCTGGCAACTGCCACGAACGAAGTGGGAACTACAAAAAATTTTTAGGATTTGCAAATTTCTACCGCCAGTTCATACCTCACTTTTTTCGTTTGACAGCCCCATTGATGGACCTTTTGAAGGGAAAGGGACGACGCCTGAACTGGCCTCCCAATGTTGCACTGGCGTTCACCACCTTAAAATGTCATTTCGCTTCAGAAAACCAACTGATCCATCCTGACACGTCTGCACCTTTCATACTGCAAACCGATGCCTCCAATAAGGCCGCTGGAGCAGTCCTATGGCAGCCATGGAAGGGTTCTGTCAGTGACCTCAGACCGGTTGCGTTTTATTCACGCAAACTCTCAAGTTCAGAGTAGAACTACACCATTTGGCAGAAGGAATTGTTGGCTATCAAAGCAGCCCTGGAAGAATGGTGGTATTTGCTTGAAGGGGCCTCCCACACGGTCCTCATTCAAACAGACCATAAGAACTTGGTCCATTTCGCCTCGATCAAGATCCTCAACCAAAGGCAAGCACGGTGGGCTTTGTTCTTCGCCCGTTTTTGCTTTCCCATAGAATATATCCTGCCATCAAAAAACTTCCTAGAGGACGCTCTGTCCAGGAAACCCGAATACTTTGAAGATAACGAAGTAAAACCTGACCCTGCTCCCATCTTGCAGCCAGGAATGATTGCCGCAGTCACCACTTCCGCCTCCTGGCATACAGACCTTCACCAGGCCCAACAGGCTGACCCTTTCGTCTGGACCAAGAGAGTAGAAATGGAGACAGGCACCCTACCTGCCGTCTACACCTTTGAGGACAATATCTTGCTAAACAACCAAGCTGCATACGTACCATTGCCACTCAGAGAACGTGTATTGCAGCAATGTCACAATTCCCCATTCATGGGACATTTTGGTGTGTATAAAATATTGCATACAATTACTAGAGACCTTTGGTGGCCTCACTTGAGCTACGAGGTCAAATTGTATGTTCTCTCCTGCCCCACATGCCAACGGGCCAAATGCCAACCTGGCAAGCCCCCAGGTTTACTCCAGCCATTAGAAACCCCTCCCCGCCCCTGGCACACTGTTTCCCTGGACTTCATCACGTATTTACCCCTGTTCAGTGGCTTCACCACCATATTGGTTATCACAGACTTATTCACCAAAATGGCCCACTTTATCCCCTGCATGGGGCTTCCTTCAGCCAAGACCACAGCCTCTCTGTACATCATATTTATAAATCACATGGGTGGCCCCTTGCATTAATAACAGACCGGGGCAGTCAGTTCACCTCACGGTTCTGGCGGGAACTTCTGTCCATGCTCAAAGTCGACTTACGCCCCTCTTTGGCACATCACCCACAAACAGACGGTCAAACAGAGCATCTAAATGCGACCCTTGAGCAGTACCTCCACTGCTATGTGAACTATCAACAAGACGATTGGCTCTCCTTTCTCCCTTTGGCAGAGTTCGCATACAACAATTCTGTTTACACCTCTACTCGACAGATGCCCTTCTATGCGAACCTGGGTTACCACCGTCAAGCATTTCCCTCCACATTGCCAGTAACTTCCGTCCCTGCCGCCAGTAATTTCCTGCACAACTTGGCTTCAGTACAGTCCGTACTCAGACAACAGAGGGCCAAGATGGCCTACAAAGAAGTTGCGGACCGACACAGACAGCCTGGAACTCCTCTCCACGTGGGTGACTGGGTCTGGCTGTCTACCAAATTTCTTCCCCTTTCAGTGCCCTCCCGCAAATTGGCCC